GAAAGACGCCTGCAATACAGCAGATCTCCTGCTAATAAAACTTCAGTCTGTTTCTTTACAGAATAAATTAACAAAGAATTGCAAGACAGACATCTGGCCCATGTTACACTGTCCTATTCCCCACACTGATTGATACCAGGCTCCATCTGAACACAACTCAGATGGACAGCTTAACAGAAGGATTTCCAGTACATATTATTTCCAAAATGTGTTATGGTACAACGAAGGCAGATTTCATACTATATTCCTTTACATCAGCACATGGAAGAGATACACTTGCTTGAGGATTCACAGTCTTGATTGTAATAACAATCTGAAAAAAAGTCAGAGAGCCTCCTAATTTCAAGTATTGACATCCAGTCAGGGGAAGGGTAAGGGGAAGACCAAGAAGGATTAGAATTATGAACAGGAAATTTATTTCAGTTCAGAGAAAAATCTATCCTGACAGAGAAAATGAGAAAAAGAACTTCCCAACAGCTAGAAGCAGATCACTTGACATGACCTCCCCTTCACACTCTTCGAAGTAGACAGGGGCAGCATGTAAGTATGTAGAACCACCTATTCTAGCTTACAAGGGTGTTGATGAGGACAGTTCCTTTAATATTTTGGAAGGTTATATTCAAAGAGGTTAAACCAGTCAAGGAATCTCTTCCAGAACTACTTTATTGTTGTGCAATACAGTAAGAAAATTACCGAGGAAGTCAACCTACCTATGGGAACCTGTATTACCTCAAGATACCTCTAAGACACCATTGAAATGATTCATAGAATCACAGAATGGTTTGGGTTGGAATGGACCTTAAAGATCACCCAGTTCCAACCCCCCTGCCATGGGCAGGGACACCTTCCACTAGACCAGGTTGCTCCAAGCCTCATCCAGCCTGGCCTTGAACACTTCCAGGGATGGGGCATCCACAGCTTCTCTGGGCAACCTGTGCCAGTCCTTCACCACCCTCTCCCTGAAGAATTTATTCCTGATATCTAATCTAAACCTCCCCGCTTTCAATTTAAACCCGTTACCCCTTGTCCTGTCACTACAGGCCCTTGTAAAAAGTCCCCTCCCAGCTTCCTTGTAGGCCCCTTCAGGTACTGGAAGACTGCTATAGGGTCTCCACAAAGCCTCCTCTTCTCCAGGCTGAACATCTCTGGGCAAAACCATAACCACCCAATAAATGCAGGGTCACAATATAATATCAACTTCTGATGCTGTATTACTGTACCAGAGCTCTGGCTTCCTGTGTGTGGAGGTGTTATGTTCTGGGGTTTGGGGTTTTTAAAAATTTCTACACAGATCCACAGAATACCATGAAAACAAACAAAATCATAATCATGCAGAAGTATCTACCTCCATCTGAGATAACCTAAAACAAAGATCTGTAAGAGCAGTCACATATCTCAGTTTAATTCCCAGGCATTTGTGCCATCCTTCATTTTCACTGCTTTCAATTTTTCAGAGTACTTGTGGGTGGCAAAAGAACAAACACCAATGTGAATTTTATCCATCCACTGTCACACTGTTGGTACTATCACAGATACCTTATACCAACACCGTTACCTTTCAAAAGGAGTTTTAAGAACTGAGGGGGCAGCAGGAAGCAAGAACATCCACTGTGGCTAGTCAGCTGTCTGAAGGGCTTCACCTATTACTGCCTTTTCAAATGGGAGATGGTTCAAGAAAGTCCACATGGAACCCTGGATGGAGCACAAACTGCTGGAAAGCCGACTGATTGTTTAAACGCTTCAGTAAAGTAAAAAAATCAAGTAAGAGCCATGTGTCAGCGCAGAAATATTCAGCAACTAAACCACTGCATTTGTTTTTCATCAATAAGTTGCGGTTTCCGTAGAGATCACAGTCCTATCATCATTTTAAGAAAGTTAAGCTGAAATATTGCCCCTGGTTCAAGTATCAACTGAATTAGGTAAATATCCAGCAAGACAAAAGTATCAGTATTGGAAATCTTAGTTCAACGTGAATTTATTTCATTACCATGTCCTGTCAGGGCAAGTAACCATAATGCATGCTGACTGCTTTCTGAACAGTTCAGGGAACTGCTTTGATGGAGCTAAGTCATCCTTCATGATCTCAATTTCCACCCCCCCCCCGAAGTACATTGACTTCAAAAAAGACCAACCAAACCAATCAAAACAAGTCCTTCTTCCCTCTAGCTAAATTATACAATAGCACTCTTCACCCTGCTTAAAAACTTTTTTTAAGGAGTAATTACCAGTAAAAGAGCCATAGCAAACTACCACACATTTCTGCTAGGGCACGCCAGTTTCACATTTTCTGGAGCAAAATCTTTTTCAGACTCCAGTCTCCTTGGCTCCTCAGAGGTAGCAAGCAATTGTTTCACTGCCTTAGACAGTGACACTGAAAACATTCCTCATTTCACAGAATTGCAAAAAATTTCCAACAAATTACTCTGTCACCTCCCCAAGAGTATCAGTCATCTAATAAGACTGACACAGTAACAGCAGAATCCAGCCAACAACCACCCCAGTGTTCTTGCAAAGTAGTTATCTTCACCTCTGAACAGGCATTTGCAGTTGCCTGAAAAGTCAATTTGGTCTTAAGATAAGCTCTTTGCTTCACGTTGCGTTATTTCAGACTTCTTAAATTCTATCAACATATCCAAACCACCAACTGGTTTTTCAGCCCTCAATAATTACCTCTCCCATTCCCCGAGATTCTAGGGCAAGAGCTTGAAACTCATGATTCATCTCATCCACAGATCGAACCTGTAGGAGGAAAAACAAAAGGGTGATCCGTTAGTCAAATACATTTTCAAAAACTTGAGTTTGTAATAGCCCGCAAGATCTCAGACAACCGAAAGCACAGAGTATTTGCTACTGAACAGGAGTTTACGTTTTGTGAAGAGATACAGTTAGTGACCAGTTTAATGAACCATACTAATATAAGAACATGCAAGAAATTCTGAGAGACTTAAAAATATTAATCATCTTGTGTCTGGCTGGGTATCACTCACTATGGAAACAATGACAGATGTTACATTTGTAAGAAATGCAAGAATAATTATATTAAAAGTTTGGGCATCTATCATCCTTTGGAAAGGAGATGAGCTGTTTCACACAACGTTGCCGAGTACACAGCAGCAAAGACAAGGTCACAAGACAAGTCACAAAAGCTATTAGCAACATGTTGCTTTTAAAATCGACTAACTGATTACATTATCACAATTTCTTGTGCTTTCTTCAGAAAGAGAACTCTTCCTTCTCTGTGTTACTTTTTTTGTTTGTTGTAAATATGAAAAGTGTATTACTAAAGCAAGAGATGCTGCTTCAGCAAAGCACCTCCTTTTTCTACAGCACACAGACACAATGCACTGGGTGCATTCTTTCTTGAGAAAATGGTTTCCACAAGGAATTTTCAAAGCCATGACAAGCTTAGAAAAACAAGGGAAATTCAGAGTTGTTTCTCTTCCTCCTTTTTCCCAACAGTGAGACACAGCAGGGTAAAATGGTAGTTGTCCAAGTTCAAAGTGAAATCAGTCTCCCTCCCAAAACCAGTCTCTCCTGAGGAGCTGATTTCCCCTAGTAAACCCATCTGTTCACATTAACACATAAACCAAGCTGAAGTTACTCCACACAGCTGATACTAAGATCACTTTTCAAAAAAATACTCAAACACTAGGCTAAGAAACCATCATGTTCTTTCAATATATTGGCACAAACAACTTTTCCAGTTCTTAGTGCTGGAAAAAATAGATGCTCTATTTTCGAACTTCTACTCAAAATGTTATTGCCTCGTAAGCATTGTAAGCCATTAACTTGAGTCTCTGTACTTCTGAGGAAGAAAGTTCATAACTTGAAGAAATATCCCCTCAGAAAGAATGATATTTTAGTTAAGATGGATTCTGACACCAATTCCTAACAATATAAGAATGTTTTTATATGAATTAAAATATAGATTTATAATTTATGTGAAATAAGCTCTTCTTGAATTAGCTCCAAGAGATCGTCAAATCTTTGTGCATGCACATCAAAAATTAGCTGTAGAAGAGGAATTATTTAGGAAAAAAATCAGAAATTCATATTTTGAAGACTTCTGAATTTGGATATTACAGTTTCTGCAAGCAGAATTTCTTCTACAGATGGTCAAGAGAATTGATTACCTTACCATAAGCCACTTAATGTGCTGAAGTCATGGATTTAGTTTCAATTACAAACGGTAAATTAGGTACTTCTGTCTCATGGTTTGAACAGTGTAGAATCGTTTCGGTTGGAAAAGACCTTTATGATCCAGTCCAACCTTTAACTTAGCACTGCCAAGTCCACTCCTTCATCATGTCCCTAAGCACCACATCTACTCGTCTTAACACCTCAAGGGATGGTCACCCAACCACTCCCCTGGCCACCCCCCTTTCCAACGCACAACAACACTTTTGATGAAGACATTTTTCCTAATATCCAATCTAAATCTTCCCTGGTGCAACTTGAGGCCATTTCCTCTTGTCCTATCACTTGTATCTCCAAACAAAGTTGCAGCTAATGCCTGCCACACTACATTGACCATAAACACTACCCAAATCACTGTCAGATAAAAAGCAACCAAACTTGAAAGACTTCCTTTGTTGTGGGCTCGTTTGGGTTCCTTTTATTTTGGTGCTGGTTTGGTTGGTTTGTTTTGTTCCTGCACAACCTAATACCAAATGCTTATTTTTCACAATTCAGCGAAGTTCAGAAACATGGCCACACATACTTCCAAGTCTCTAAAAAACCAAACCTCCAAGAATTAAGTAATGGCACAATGAACTCTTTTTCCTGGGCAGTTAGTTCAGAGTCAATTCTAAGAAACTGAAGTTTTCCAAAACAGTAAATAAACTTTAGTACACCAAACACTGATTTTGCTCGCTGCTTCCCTTCTTACAAACATGAAATTTTAGTCTTATCTATCACCATCAGCAGCAAAAGAAATAATACTGTCCTTTCCCTGTAGCAGTGGTTCTCCATTTCTGCTGCCATCAAATAGAGCAGACCACAAAATCCTGTCCCATATTAGGAATACACGTTTCACACACCCATTTACAGGTTGGAGAAAATACAGGCAGTACAAATATCTTCCAAAGATCTTTCCTCAATGCTAGCCCTTTCAGTAAAAAATATCTGGAATAATGAAAACCAAGCTAGATCTACTATATATAAAGACATGTCTCCTCTTTGAAGGAGAAACTTTGGTTAGGATCATCTGTATTACAAGGAAGTTATTTTCTTTAATTCAGTGCCAACATTCATCTAATTCATATGCTTCAGAAATTAACATTTTTAACACATATTTTAACCTCAAATTCAGAACATTAAAAAAAAATCTATTTTATTTATTCCCTGTCACCTGGAATAATTCATAAAAAAAAGTCCTATAAAACACCCTGCTTAATATTTACAATTTTTGGTTGATTACATATTCCCCTCCCCGCTCCCCCCCCCTCAGAACAATCACTCTGAAGACTTCTCTTTCTCCATTTACCTCCTACCTGCTTTTGGGATTAATTGCTAGATCTAATCTTAGTTTTCAGGAGTTGAATGCTAATAAGCCTTTCCAACTAAGGGAAGCTGGCAACAGTTCCACACTTCTCATACGCATCAGATCATTCCATAGGGCCCCCAGATTATGCACAAATGGATAACGCACACCAAAGCCGTCTTTAGGTGTAATGATTCCTCACACACTGCTGTTAGAACAGCTTAAGTGTATCCATGAGCTTTTCTCTTTTGACATACCAAGGGAAAATTTTGATCTTCCTCCTGTTCCACGGACACTGGATACAACATACCAGCATGTATTAGTCTGTTTTTCATCACTGCATTAGGAATGAGTTTTTAAGAGTAAAAACAAAATTAGTTTTTTTTAGTAGACTTTCTGCTGAAGTTTATAGTCTTTCTCTCTCCTCTCAAATTTACAAAGTAATTTATTTAAAATCTAGAGACTTGCACAAAAACCTTCCTTTAGCATGGCCAGCATGTCAAGGGAGGTGATTCTGCCCCTCTACTCTGCTCTTGTAAGACCCCACCTGGAATATTGCATCCAGCTGTGGAGCACTCAGCATAAGGATATCGACCAGTTGGAGCGAGTCCAGAGGAGGCCATGAAGATGCTCAGAGGGCTGGAGCACCTCTCCTGTGATGAAAGGCTGAGAGAGTTGGGCTTGTTCAGCCTGGAGAAGAGAAGGCTCCAGGGAGACCTTATTGCAGCCTTCCAGTACCTGAAGGGGCTACAAGGAAGCTGGGCGGGACTTTTTACAAGGGCCTGTAGTGACAGAACAAGGGGTAACAGGTTTAAATTGAAAGCGGGGAGGTTTAGATTAGATATCAGGAAGAAATTCTTCACGGAGGGTGTGGGGAGGCACTGGGACAGGTTGCCCAGAGAAGCTGTGGATGCCCCATCCCTGGACGTGTTCAAGGCCAGGCTGGATGAGGCTTTGAGCAACCTGGTCTAGTGGAAGGTGTCCCTGCCCATGGCAGGGGGTTGGAACTAGATGGTCGTTAAGGTCCCTTCCAACCCAAACCATTCTGTGACTCTGTGATCTTTAAGGGCCCTCCCAACCCAAACCATTCTATGATTTACTCCTTGCAAGAGTAGTTCTCATTTCTACTGTACTTCATTACTATGTCATGCTATGTCCACAAGACAATCCTCAGCCCTGAATGCTACAATGTTCAACCAGTAATTTGAGTTCATGACAGATCTAAGAACATCTAACCAGCTACTGGCCAACAGGACAATCCCTCCATCCTTCCCCTAACAGCTTTTACCACTCCCCGTGCAATGAACTTTGTAATCATCAAGGAGAAGGTTTGATTCAGAAGTTTTTTTCCTTCTTTTTCCATGCATGAGAACTTCATCAGATCAGCCAGCTGAACTGGCTACAGCACCACAGCAATGAGACCACTAGATGTGACACAGGGAAAGCAACAAGGAGAAACTGGTCTGGAGCAAGGTGGAGTAGGACTACCAGCTTAGTGGGACCCAGATGATGAACCAGTCACATGAAACTGCATCCTGACAAAATCCAGGAGGCAGACCCTTCACTGGATAGTCATCTAGAATTACCACAAGAAACTGCAGAGTAACATCCATTTCTGGAATCCAGCCACTCAGTTCCCGATCTAGGGACAAGTACTCTGCAATTACTCTGAATCCAGCCAGAAATAAGCTCTTACTTAATTCCCTGAAAAAAAGATGATCAGCCCACTATCCTTTGGAAAAAAAAGAGTGGGAGAAAAATAGTAAAGTAAAAAAATACAATATAAAAGAGAAAGATATTACTTCATTTTAGACATCAAAAAAACTTAAAACCAGCTGATCAGGAAGTAGGTAACACTTTTTCTGCATTAAGAAGTTTCAAATCTCATCCTTTCTATCCAAGACGAATACCCTAACCACCGTGACAAAGGAAAGGAGGACAGGTTTTGTAGTTGAAGCTGCTAGGCCAGAAATGTAACACAAAACAGCTGGTAGTTACAGTACTGTGACTGGAAAGGGAAGATGCTCGCACCGCAGATCTAATCCTTTTTTCTTTATTTTGTTGAATTACTTTAATGCAAAATACCTTTCTAGTAGTTTTCTACAGGGGTGGCTCTTTGCAGCATTTCTCTTATGTATGATATATGCTTATGGCAGAGACTTCGCATTATTAGCAAGTTCAACTAATTCAAGAACACAAAAAATGTCTGTATTTTATAACACAGCAATTCTGCCAGCCCTCACAAGACACTAT